CAGGGGGAAAGGCAAATCGGCGAGTCGTAAAGGTGGGCTTGAGGGGGGGGGGGGGGGGGTTGGCGTGGGGGAGGGTAAAGGTGCGGATTCAGCATAGGGTATTCCACCCGTTGTCGGTCAGAGGGATCAGCGTACACTAAAAATAAATGGCTGAAAAAGCAGACAAGACACAAACAAAAAGACTGAAAATCAGCCAAGGTACGTAATTTGTTTTTTGTTTTTAATCAGCCTAAGGTTGAAAAAAAAACCTGATTTTACGCTGAATCGGAGTAAAAAGGCTGATATCTAGGGCCCTGATCTGCAGCATTGACAAAGGTTATTTGCAGATGCTCTTTGGGGAGGTAGGTTGCCAGTAGGGTTTAAAAACTCGTTGTCTTCAAAACATCAGCCGATAGAGATGACTTCCAGATATCCAGGTGAGACAAAACCAAAATGTGTAGACCTTGTCATTTCCTGATAAATTATGTTCGACACAAGTAGCGGGAGCGTGAACTTCAACTGGGCGTGCACTTTAACTGGGTTGCAATCAAACTGGAAATAATCGGATCCGCTCCCTCCTCCTTGTCGACGTTCAGGTATCCCTCATCATCATTGCCAACGTCTGCGAGTCCTCTAGTTCGCTCTGCACATCAAACTCCTCTTCGTTAAATGTCTCGTTTGACTCATCTGCCTCCACCTTCTCCTTACTTCCTTCCTTCCCACCATTAGCATCGCCCTTCGGGCCATTGAACTTGAGAGTAGAAAGGCGGGAGATCATCGTCTCATGACCTGATGTTTCAAAAGACACCGATGACTTCTCAAGCACAGACGTTTTGACCGCGAGATTCACCGCATCCTTCGCCTTTGGCGAAATAGTTAGACTGGGTGGAGCCGTTACAATCTCAAAGTCAGGAGTGCGACGACTATTACATCTGGTCGCCATACCGTCATGGTGCAATGATGAGACTGTAAAATCTAAACGTCCGTTGCTGACATAAAAAATCCACTGAGCACCAAACTATTTAAACACTTCTTTTTATGTCAATGATGAGGAGTCTAAAAGGACTGGTGTTTGGCCTTCAATAGAGCAGAGACTGCCTCAAAAATATTTTGGACCTTTGAGAGTATCACTTGCATCTCGATATTGTCATGGCCTTAGAGAAAAGATTGGCTCCTTAGTAAAAAGAATGTAATAATGATACATGATAGTCGAGCTATAACCTTGGAAAAGCAGAAAGCAATATGGATGATCATGGGTTACATTAATTTACACCAAAAGTGGATCTCCATAAAACGCATAGAGATGAGAAATCCGTTGGTTAAAGAAAATATGATTTCAGGTAAGAAATTGGTACACATTGGGAGCTTTGAAGTGCCCGAGACCTGGTTCGCCATGAATTTCATGTGATGGGTTCCAGGTGTTGGAGTAACCGAAGTATTATGTTAGCATTTCCGAATGTATCGGAGAAGCTCACTATCATGTATAGAGAATGCGCACTACCTACTATCGAGCTACACTCATATAAGCGCGCGGTAGTAGGGAGATGGAAAGTCAACAGTCGGAAGTCAATTGTCCCGAATCTTAAGTGACCTACGCGCTGCAACCACGTAACTGCATGCATTATAATAGTTACGCTATTGTACCGATACCTGTAATACGGTTGAATAACGGAATGTACCCCTCAGAGTACATGGCTAGCTAGGACGATATATTCGAATGTAATGTAATGCCTTGTTTTACTTATATTGCCATTTATAACCACTACAAGGCTTCTGCTGTCTTAATTATCTAGCATCTTATCCCGTCCAATCAATCCTTGAGTTTTACTAACACCAGGGTTCGATCACTCTTTACCTAACGCTTCCGCAATCATTATTCGTTTATTCCGCTCACTCTGTTTCCTTAATCGGGGTTGACTGCTTCACGTACAACCCCCATTTTCAGACTTGCACGTTCAGCCTGCATCAACGATACAGAGGCTTCCTCGCGCCGCCTTTGGTTTTCCCTTGCCCAACATGCACCCAACCTCACATACCCGAGGTTCCCGCTTAGCTAGGGTAGTCACTATACTGTGCCGCGTCCTTCATTGTATTGTCAGTTCATGTAGTCACAGGTTCGTTATTCGTTGTCCGCGCAACTCTTTTTTATAACTCATAACACCGGGTATTAAAGCTACTTTCCTAGTTCACCCCGCTTTTCGAGGGTAGTTTTAGAGGCACGGGTGTGACTGGCACGGTGGGTTGCAAAGCGGTTGGCTGCTAAATTTATTAAATTAAATTTGCCTGACTCCGATCTCTTTCGTGCTTGCACAATTGCCGGATAGTTACGGATATCCCAATGCCCTCTAGACGTAGCTTGCGACTCATGGACCGAGCGGCCTTTGACAGACTGATGCAGCAAGTGGCGGACATGCAGGCAGGAATGAAGGCATAGAACAGTTACGAGAGGAAAGCTCAGAACTACACCAGGCGCAAGGTGAAGCGCGCCAGGAGTCGCCCGTTGAAGAAGGCGAAACCACCAATCAAGGGGTGAGCGGTGTGGATGCAACAGGCGAGCTCACACGCGGCGTCAAAGAAATCGATAGGCGGACAGCGCCAGCAACACCAATTGCAGTTACTACAATCAATATTAAACCGACGAGTCCGCCCCTGTTCAACCCTACGGACAAGAACACAACAGTGAAGGGGTGGTTGTTCGGCGTGGAGGTCTTCTTTACTGCTGCAAAAGTCGACGATGATGCCACACGTATTAATTACGCGGTATCGCTTCTCCGAACACCCGCACTGGAGTGGTGGCGACTGACCCTGGACACTGGGACCCCGACAGGTGTGACACATGCGGCAGACGGGACCTCTGACTATGGAAATCGACGGGCATCCTCGATATTCAGTGTGACCACAATTTGCACGTGGAAGGAGTGGGGCGCAACCTTGCGACGGCGCTTCGAGCATGTATCCGCCTTGGAACACACTCGCATGAAGCTGCGTGCCTGGTCGCAGCTGGCCTCTGTTCAAAACCACACGGCGTCGTTTATGGCGCTTGCCGATCAAGTGGACGACATGGCGGAATCGGAGCGTTTGGATAAGTACATCAGAGGCCTCAAATACAAGATACAGTACGAGGTGCGCCGAAGCCGCCCGGTGACGTTCCTGGCTTAGTTGGAATTGACGCCGGGACAGGCCAGCGTCCAGCGTCAAAACGTACAATTTTGACGCTGGACGCTGGACGGACGTTTTGACGCTGGACGGTCCCTGAAAAAGAATTCGGGCATCTTGAAATGGAAAAACCAAATCTAGAAAAAAAAGTACACACACATTGCGGGAGTTCGCGCCGAAATCGCGACTCTGGATTTCACTCGACAATACACAATACAGAAAACGCACTACAACAAAATCCAACCCCCCCACCCGTTTCCACCGCACTACATCTACATCACCCAACCATAACACACACATTTAGCGCACTCCTCAACCTCCTCGACTTCATTCTAGGTTGTCGACCGGCGACATTCTCCCATTGCTAGCATAGCGCGAAATTATTAGGTTAGGCGTTTCGAGTCTATCTTAGTCTACTGCCATGGCTTCAACCACTCCTACACCATTAAATGAGGGCGCCCACGGGTCCTCGATTGCCGGATCTAGTTCAGGGTTCACCTACGAAGAGATGCCCGATCATTCGACGTACAAGCATTGGCACCTTTTCATGGATCCTAAGAAAGGCAAGGGGACAAGGGGGTTGTGCAAGTATTGCTCCCACGAGTTCGTGCAGTCCACAACGCGTTGCTCTCAGCATCTCACGGTTTGGGTTGGACAACCGACGAATCGTGATGTTCAACTTTGTGCGAAGGCTCCCAAGGCCGTCGTAGAGGATATTAAGACCTTGTACGAGTCAAAGGGGAAGGCGGCCGCCTCGGCGATGGAGGCGGTTTGCGGTGGTAGTGGTCCTACTGGCAAGAGAAAAAACTCTGATTTCTTCGGTGGGGAGGCGGCGGAGGCGAAATCTTTGGCCGGTGAGTCAATAAGTCTCTTCTTCGCCGGACTGCGTATCCTCGAGCACCATGCCGATCACCCGCTCTTCCGCAACATGTTTCGAGCAGTGTCTGAGGCGGGCAGCGGCTACGTCCCCCCCAGACGCAAGTACGTTGGCGACGCCAGTCTCCAGCAGTGCCGCATTCAGATTGAGGAGGGGTTGGCGCCCGTCAAGAAGACAAGGGCAAAGCAGGAAGTCACCATTGCGAGCGACATGATGACCGATTGCTTGGGGCGCGCACAGGTGAATATGCTGTTGATCAACGACGTTGGCGCGATGTTCACTCAAAGCATCGACTGTGGGAGGGATACCAAGACGGGCACCTACATTTGTGACAGCTGAGGCCCATCGTGGAGGAGGTCGGGCCCCAACTACTGCTCGGCGTGTCGGAAGTTGGGGGTGGAGTTTCCGCGCATTTAGCATGTTCCCTGCGCCACCCACGCACTTGACCTGCTGATGGACGGTGTTGGAAAGGTGGAGTGGGTGGAGAAGATTGTGGACTGGGCGAACGACATTATCAACTTCCTGCGCAAGCATCACTGGACCCGTAACGTTTTGAGGGGCCGGGCGTTGCTGGGGGGTAGGGTGTTGCAGGCGTTCCGGCCAGCCGGGACTCGATTTGGCACTCAGTAGATTGTGGTTTTGAGGTCGTGCGAGTTGGAGCAGAAGCTGATTTTGCTCGTGACGGGCGACCTGTGGAAGGGGTGGGCGGTGGGAGAGAGGAAGGAGGGGGCCGAGATGTTTGCAAAGTTGGTGATTGATCCGGCATGATGGACGGGTGCTGCCTTCTTTGTTAAGCTGCTGCAGCTGCCCTATAAGGCGATGCGCATGACGGCTTCGACTGCACATGGGATGATAGGCCGCATGTACGACCTCATGCTGCAGCTGACGGAGGATGTGGAGAAGGTGTTGGATGAGGACCAGAAGCAGCTGAGCGGCGCGGATCTCACGCATTGTAAAGGATTGTTGGGACAACAGCCTCGCGTGTGCCATGCACGTGGCTGGTCGGATCTTGAACCCGGTCAACCAGGACGAGGAAATCTTCGGGGTTGAAGTGGAGTGCACCCGGGACTTTAAGGAGTTCATTGCACGCGCCAGTGACTACTACGAGAGGTATCCCGCCATGAGTGGAGTGACGGGGAGGGAGGTGGATCTGGAGGTGGCGGTGACGGCATTCTTGGAGTTGAGGGGGAGTTGTGGGATGCCAAAGGCCACAGACAGGGAGAAGGTGAAGGATGGGAAGCAGACGATGGAGCAGTGGTGGATGTGGCACAGCACTGAGTGGCTCGAGCTCTCGCGTCTTGCATGTCGTGTACTGCCCCAGCCCATTTCCGCCGCATTGTGCGAGCGTAACTGGTCCATATGGGACACTACAAGGTGCAACAGGCTTGGCTCAGAGAAGTGCCGCGACCTTGTCTACGTTGCGGCACAACTTGAATGATGTGCGCAACTTCCACAAGGCCACACAGGAGGGGATGGGGATTGTGAAAGAGAACATCTCCGACCCTCTAATCCCTGGGGGGTATATTGTGGAGGACGAGGACGAGGACGAGGAGGAGGAGGAGGAGGAGGAGGAGGAGGAGGAGGAGGAGGAGGAGGAGGAGGAGGAGGAGGAGGAGGAGGAGGCGGATGAGGGGGAGCAGAAGGTGCTCGAGGACGAGTACGAGTACCCTCAGGCGTAGAGGGGGAGGGGATTATAGGGGTTGTTACATGTTATAGTAGTGCAGCGGATGGGTGATCATGGGATGGCATTTAAGTGGATGTGGGTGGGGGGGGTGGTGGTAATAGTAGTAGTGTGAGCAGTTGAGAATAATGTATGCATGCTACCATTTATGGAGATTTGTTTTCGAGGAAAAAACTCTAAATTGGCTGCCCGAACCCTCAACTACCCTCTTACCTTCTTCTCCCCCCCTCCCGCCCCCCCCAGACCCACCCCCCTGGTTTTGTTTTTGCTCCCCGAAGGGTTTTTTTCGCCTGCCCGCCAGAGCGTCAAAACCACCATCAAACTCTTGGAGGGTTCTGTCCCAGGTATAAAACGTAGCGTCAAAACGCTAGCGTAAAAAACGCTGGCTCCGTCAATTCCAACTAAGGTTCCTGGAAGTCGTTCGATTCGCCGAGTCTACGGATGCGTTGATGCAGTGGCTGAGATCAAGTTCCCAGGAGGGAAATTGTTTGACATACCCAGCGGGTCACGATTAACGGAGTCCATGCGCCAGATCGCCCCTTTACGTGGCTGTATTTTAAGTGCGGGAAGTCGGGTCACATGTCTAAAGACTGCCCCGACAAGACGCAGTAGAAGAGGAACAGACGGGCCCCTTACTGGCTGTGCTCTGTCGTCCAAACACCGCCATCCCCACCGAGTCATGGTTCCGATTCATGCAATCCATCGCACTCAGCTGAATAACAGTGATAATCATGTGGATCACCCTGTGCTGGTTGTCAGCACGGAGTTGAAGAAGAAGAAAAAATGTTAGTCGATGGTGGGGCTAGCCATAGCCTCTTTAACATGGCGACAACAAAAAAATGTGGATTACAACTTGGCAGGTGTCTGCCCAAAATTGACGTGTGACTCATGGATGGGGTGCCTCTGGCAATTTTGGAAGAAAGAAGGATGGTGAGGATTGAGTGCAGCGACGATTTCAGCTTCAGCATGAAGTTTCTCGCGACTACCTTGGATGGTTGCGACGTGATCCAGGGACGCGATTGGCTGCGAAGGCACAACCCGATATTTGACTGGACAACGGGCTCGCGCAGCATAAGCAAGCACGAGGCTTATTACATTGCCCGTGTGGACTCCGGACCACGTTGAGTCCACATGCGTCAAGGCGATCTGCATCACACGTCATTTCAACAGGGGTGCACATCTGTACGCCGTTCATCTGCGCGAGTTGACAGCCGAGAACGACGGAATTGACATCGAGAAATTTTGTGCAGCTGCACTGCCTGAATTGGCGCAGCTGATTTGACAGTACCTGGATATCTTCCCCGACGACCTGCCACTTGGCCTACCACCAGAACGCCCCAAACACCACAAAATCACGCTCGAGCCCGGCGCGCAACCAACTGTTCGTATACAGCGGCGGCTGCCTCAGCCCGAACTCGAAGAGCTACGAAGTCAACTTGACAGAATGTTGGAGAAAGGTTCCATCAGACCCAGTACGTCACCCTTCGCGGCACCGATCCTGTTCGCGCCGAAAAATGACGGCGGCATTCGCATGTGCATCGATTATCGCGCGCTCAACCGAGTTACCATAAAATCTCGCTATCCGATTCCACGCACCGACGACCTTCTCGACCAACTTCGCGGCGCTCCCTACTTCTAGACTGGCCTACGTGGCGGTTACCACCAGATCAGGGTCTTCGCTGACGACTGTCCCAAGAACGCCTTCCGAACCCGCCACGGCAGTTACGAGTTTACCGTGATGCCCTTTGACCTCACGAATGGGCCTTCGACTTCCAACTGAACATGAACAGGGTATTCCGCGAATTTCTTGACAAGTGTGTTATCGGCTACACGGACGATATTTTGATTTTTAGCAGGACACGCGAGCAACACCTCTAAGACCTCGACGCAATATTTAAACGGCTCCAGGACAACCGGCCCATCACCAAGGGCTCAAAGTGCGAGTTTTTAAAGCAAGAGTTATAATTTTGGGGGCGCGTCATCTCGCGCGACGGCATTAAAATTGGCCCGGAGAAGATCCTGACCATCCAGGAGTGGAAGGCCCCGACTAATGTCACAAAACTTCAGAGTTTTTTTTTGTTGTATGTTAATTATGTCAGGCGGTTTATCCTGAATATGGCGGTGATAACTGGCTCGCTGACCGACCTGCTACAGAAGGTCAGGAAACTTGTGTGGGGAGACGAGGTTGAGGCGGCTTTTCAGGAGTTGGAATAATTTTATGGTGTCCCCTCCGGTTCTGCGCATCGCCGACCCATCTAAGTCGTTCGAAGTCGTCACGGACGCCTCAGATTTCGCCATTGGCGCCGTGCTGCTCCAAGATTTCGGCAACGACCTACAGACGATCCCATACGAGTCATGCAAACTACAAAAATCTGTGCGCAACTACCCCATTCACGTCAAGGAAATGCTCGCCATCATCCACGCGTTTAAACTGTGGCGCTCCTACTTGACAGGTGCCGATGCCACTATGCGAACCAACCACAAATCGCTACAGTACATCCATGCGCAACCCAACCTCAACCAGCGACAAATCCGGTGGCTCGATTATATGGAGTCACATTTTCACTACCGCATCACCTACAAATAGGGGGCGGATAACATCGCCGATGCCCTCACCCGCCCGACAGTTCAATCCACTGCGGAATTAATCACCCACTCGAACCCGCTCCTTTCGGGACTATTCACCCACGGCTACATGACGGACCCATTCTTCACAACAGGGAGTCACCGGCAAGCGATGACGTAGAAAGGGGACTATTGCGCAAAAGCCGGAACCGATCGGATTTGGGTGCTCGTTTACCGCCTGATGCGTGAACTTCAAATCCAAGAGGTCCACGATTCCAATCTCTTCGGCCGGCCTAATGCACCCTCGAGCCACGTGAACGACCATGGCAACAGGTGACAATGGATTTTGTCACGGGGCTACCAGCTGGCGCGTCCGGCAACGACGCAGTGCTCGTCGTCGTCGACCGACTCACGAAAATGGCGCACTTCGCACCCTGTCGCAAAACAATCACAGCGGACGAATATGCGCGCCTCTTTATTTCCACCGTTGTTGGCCTTCACGGTATCCCGTCAACGATCGTCAGCGACACGGACCTGAGGTTTACATCGAAATTATGAAACGAGACGTGGGCGCAGTACGGCACACGGCTATAGTTATTGTCGGCCTACCACCCGCAAACCGACGGACAGACCAAGCGGACCAATCAGATGATGGAGCAGCTCATCCGTACAAACTGCCCCGACCCCGCTCGCAAGGAAATTTCACTCCCAATGCTTGAATTTGCGTACAACAACGCCCCGTCCAACACGACCAACCACTCGTCGTTTTTCCTGCATTACGGGATGAACCCCGTAATACCCACGACGACGTCACCCGACAACCCAGTACTGCGGACACACCATTTTGTGACGGAACTACAAACCATCCGCGAGAAAACTGTCGAAGTCATCTGGAAAGCCAACTCAACTGCCAAAAAATACTCGGATCTCCTTCGACGGGAAATCACCACGGTGGCGGGGCAACTAGTCCTACTCGACACCAAGATCCTTCGACTGCCCGTCTCGCCGAAACTTCGCCTGATGTTGCGGACCCTTCCGCATTGTGAAAATGATTACCCCGGTCATGGCGAAACTCTTGCTGCCCGACGACTGACGAGCGCACGACGCATTCCACGTCAGCCTCCTCAAGCCCTTCGTTGCTGCCAAAACACTGCGTTCGACTTGACTCTGCTGGGCGCCACGTGGACTTTTTTATTCGCTGGACCGACCGCACCACACCAGTGAGGACGACACCTGGGTGCTATCCGCCTCGCTTGAAGCACCTTTGCTCATTCGCGATTATCTCGCTCGGAAGCGTGTCGCGGATATCGACCACCTTTCTTAAGGGGGGAAGAGGGGGGGGGGGGGGGGGGGGGAGGAAAGTGTAAGTGAAGTTCTTTTTCCTTAATCGGGGTTGACTGCTTCGCGTACAACCCCCACTTTGGGGCTTGCACGTTCGACCGACATCTGTCATAATTAGAACGTAGGAATGATTGACTAGTAGGGAAGAATGAGTACAAGTACTAGGAATGACCTAAAGTGTTGTTCTCCTTGGAGTATGCCCCACTACAGCCTAGAGATAACAAATGCAATTTGACACACCCCCATAGGCAAAGTGGGGGATAGCAAACACAACAGACGGTCACAAGACCAGTCAAGCAAGAGAACAAAGCAAAGCAAAGCTCAGGGTGGATCTCAAGATCACCACGCATTCTGAGCACAAGCAAGCGGCCCCAAGGCCAGTTCACATGCAGAGTTGTCAAAACACAAGCAGTGCAGTGATCACAACCTAGCAAGGCAAGCATGCAGGTTTATATATATATAGATCATAGAACAAGACAAAGTCAAGCAACCAGCAGGTGAGGCAGAGTAGGAACAAGGCCTAGAGCAGTGCAGAAACGCTGATGATCACCAGACCCAAGGGCCTTGGTGGAGACATCAAAAGTGTTGGCCCGAGAGGCCATGTAAGCAAGGTGCAGCTAACCACGCTGTTGCTGCTCCCGAGCAAGAAAGTAACGAAGAGCAATGTGCTTCGTTTTGTGCTCCAGTCTCTGCTCCTGACACAAGGCAATCATGGCCTTGTTGTCGACGTACAGAACTGGAGGAGAACGAGGTCGCTCACCCAAGTCGGTCAGCAGGTAGGTCAGCCAGCGTAACTCCTGTGCAGCCATGGCCCCAGCATAGATCTCGGCCTCACAGCTGGAACCAAGCACAGAAGACGAAAGAGTGGACCTCCACGAGACAGAACCAGAACCGAGACTGAAAGAGTAACCCTGGAACGACCACTGAGTCGCCTGGTCGTCGGCACAAGAAGCGTCGGAGTGTCCTGTGAGTACCACTGAGTCCCGTCCTCCAAGCACAAGCCCCATGCCCGATTTCCTGCACAAGTAACTGAGTTCCCTCTTAGCAGCTGCACAGTGCTCCTTCCGGTGTCTACCGGGAGCAACGAAGCGG